AATGTATATATAAATTATATATTTATATGAATATCATTTTCATGGATACAAAATATTTTAACCTATATGTAGAATTATTACTAGTTATAAAAAATTACTCTTATTTATGTATTATACAAAATTTCTCTTAGACGTTTTGTTTTCTAGAAATAGACTTGAACAATTCAACTAAAAGTTATGATACTAATGTAAATTTTGATTCATTAGTTATCATCATTTATACATATTTTTCTTATTTTCCAAAGAAAAAAGATGCACATAAGAAAGTGCATATAAAATATTTATATTCGTCTTTTTCAAAAGAGAGTGTGATGTGTTATATATTACAATATATTAAAAATATACTGCAGGATATGTGGTATTTTAATCTTTGTATTCATAGTTTGGATTTTAAACTGGTCATTAACTTTTCCAGTTTCATTGCTTTCTGCATATTTCCACTAATGTTTAATTTGCCTGTCATGAATGCAGAAACTGGTTTTAGTTTACCTGTCGGCAAAAAGCAAGTTTAAAATACGTTAATGTAATAATAATAATGTAATAACATTAACACACAGGTATATGTACATATTATGTTCTTAGCGCCGAGACATTACCGTGTCTCTTAATACACATGATACAATGATATAACAGATGCAAGAATAAATTCAACAGAAAGTTATTAGATCTGTACCTACCTGAAAACATAGCAAAGAAATTTTCTGAATCCATCGTTAGAGTTGCATCTGCTGGCTGACTCGGTTCTCCTTTACCAGTAGCGCCCTTTCCATTTTTCAAATCAAGAAACCATACACCAGATTCCTTTCCTAAACATGAATGTATATATAAGTATAAAGATATCTGTTCTCCTTCAATCTCTTCTTTTTTTCTATAAACGAGAAGAAATTACCTTTTACGTTGAATTGGTATATAGCACCAGTTTTGTCAACCAATTCGCTACTTAAATTTGCATTGATAACATTAAATAAATGTGCCAACCGTCCATTTTCTTCATTATTCGTTTTATCAGCATTATGAACGTTAGTATGTGCACCATCCAGAAAGAAGTCCAGCATTAAATTGTCCTTGTTTGCTAAAGATTACAAATGCTTATTGTTAGAAAACTATTTAACAACTGATAATACAATTGAACCTGAACAACTGAACCTAACATATTTTCAAAGATCTTATATTTAGAAAACAAGTTTAATAATATAAAACTTTAAAAGTTAATTGATTGTCATCATACAATTCACTTATTTATAATTGCTATAAATTTTACAAGGCAAATGTTAATATAATTAGTATTTTTATATATATTTGTCTATAAAATAAAAATAAAATCCAATATTACCTGGATTACACGCGTAGTCTGTAAAATCAGTAATGCCCTCGTTTTTTAATATTTCTTCGTCAATTAGAAATTGACCAGTAATGGATTTGCTATCTTTACAAAGCAATGCATAAACAGCATCAGCCATAATTTCAGGCTTTCGAGAAACGTTACTCGAGTCTGAGCTTAATAGCATGTCCATTGCAGCAGTATATATAGCTAAAAATATGTAATATTTATTTAAAATAAATTTTATATAATTATTTAGTATTATCCCATACACGGAAAATACTAAATGCAATCTATAAGTTACTCAGATAAACAAAGTTTTTATCGTTATTTTCTCTATTTAAAATAATACTAGCAATATATGTATATTTATAATATTTTATCATAAATGCAATTATTTCCTTATTAATTATATCTTATAAACTTAAATATGACAATATACCTGTCTTAGGCCAAACAGCGTTAACCGCAATGCCATCAGGCTTAAATTCTTCTGCCATTCCAAGAACGCACATAGACATTCCATATTTAGCCATTGTGTATGCGACATGATTTTGAAACCAAACTGGTTTCATATTTAACGGCGGACTTATATTAACTATATGTGGATTTGTGCTTTTCTTTAGATATGGTATACAAACTTTCGATCTACAATACAATTTTATTTCTTGGTAAATTTGCAGTGCAAACTTGAGAATGCGTGATAATATTAACCAGTTTTTCTAATCAATTGTTATAGATTATGATTAATTTAATATTAAATTAAATACTAAACATTAAAAACCTGTAAGCAGTGTGAAAGAAACAACCTACACGAGAAAAGTTCCTCTGGCATTAATATTATTCATTAGATCATATCTTTTTATTTCGGTTGTAAGAGTACCCGTTAAAGAAATAGCACTCGCATTATTCACAACAACGTCTATTCCACCGAACTTGGCAACAGCATTCTCTACCGCGTCAATCACCTGCTTCTCATCGCGTACATCCACAATACAAGGTAAAGCCTTACCACCAGCTGCTTCAACTGAAAAATATTTTTTCTACATAAATCTTTAAATTCCGAAGGTTTTTGAATGTTGAATCTAATCGACTTAGTTAGCATTAACTTCATTTTGTTTAATCCTACTAAATTAAAAAGATTCATTAAATTAAATAAAAAAATAAATTGTACCAGGATAATATATTGCTTATAAAATCCTATTTCTATATGTATTAGATATCAGCATCAAAACTAACAATTTTATTAGTTGATACTATTTAACATAAATATAAAAATTATTTTAGATAGTCAATTTTTAAATTTATAAGCAATTAATTATTAAATATAAATATATATATATATATATATATAAAAGAGAATTATACTAGTTATATACCTATATAACATATACCATCTATAAAATATGAATATTCTATTTTTGTAATAATTTTATTAGTTTTAATATTGATATTTAACACAAATAAAACTAATTTTGTATTGAATTTTTTATTCATAAAAATCAGTAAGTCTTTTTTTATCCATAAACCAATACCTATAAATGTATCGCTGTCAGATTGTACCATAAACCCAAATCTGGTGAAAAATTAAGCGATAATTACTTTCAGAAGCCGCCGTATAAATGGTACCCGGTAACTTTGGATGTGGTTCGGCAGTTTTTGCAGCAATAACAACATTTGCACCATCTTTCGCTGCTTTCAAAGCTATACTCTTCCCAATACCTCTTGAAGCTCCAGTTATAAAAATAGTCCGACCGGCCAACTTCCTGTCAAATATTGGTAGTAACTAGTATAATCTTGTTCAGTGACACAACATTTATAATAGCATTATTATTTATCTAGATGTATTATTAAAAAAATACTATATATCATTTAACAAATTATAAATCATTCATGAGGATTACAAATATCATATTTATATTTATACATTTATTTTGTTTTATAAATAATATACTGTAATAATTCATTATATTTAAGTTTTAAAATGTAAAATAGTAATTTAATGTATCATATAAGATAAATGTATCAGTTAATGGACATGAATCAATTGTTAGGTAAAAAAATTAATCATTTAAAATATTATACTTTTAATGATATGTACAATTCTAAATATATTTATATTATTAAATTTTTATAAACAACAAATTTAATCAAAGTCATATACATCATTAAAATCTTAATATTTAAAATTTTATGTCACTTTGTCCAGCAAATTGGGTCATATCCACTAATTGATATATTTACATTACATCATTTACAAACATAAATCTGTTTTTGAATAAATTTTTGTTTTCAATATGCAAATAAATCAACAATTCTAGAATTAAGTAAAAAATTTTTAGACTTAAGTAATGCAATTCACATTTTAATTTGTACAACTTATGAACAGTACAACAATAAATTTAACACATATTTTATACATTATCATGTGTTTACATAAATTATGAAAATGAGTCCACGTAGCAATCAGATAATGAAATATATATACATACTTATGTAAATTTATACTACTGTCTCTGGTAGTACTGTTGAGGATAAAAACTTGATGAATCATATAGAAACACATGAACTTGAAATTACAAAACATTACTTACCCCGTATTAATCATTTTCCTGCCTTTTTGCAATATGCTAGCTATAGAATGTTAACGTCCTCGTTGATACGTGGCCAAGTGACCGAAAACGGTATCTGATCGGTTGACGTCAATTACAAATCAAGAGCCTGACTGCTGGAGACGTAAATCACAATTGTGTTCGTTGCGGCCGTTTCGAACTACAGTTCCCACTCAGTAGGTTCAAAGTACATCATATCTTTAGAGAAACGCCTCAACAATCAACAGTCATCCCGCAACACGAGAGTCTTGACATTTTCTGTAATAAGAAATATATATACACATATATATATTGATATATACATGTATATAATCTTATATATATGTGTACACGTATCAGAAGAGCACACAGAAATCCTGATACGACATCTGTATCAACTTCAGAAATGAAAATGCTCACAAAAATGAGATGTCGGTAAATTCACGTACGATTATATCATAGTATTATTTATCTATGAGCGGTAAACTAATGATTATCTACACGATCTAATGCAGAATAAAAAAATTAAATTCACTCTTTTTAAAGAAATTAATATACATATATTAATATATATGTATATATTGGGTTAAGAAAAAATCTTTTTACAGTCGAGATTTTTTACGTGCCACTATTGGTGCATTTAGGGAGACGCTATTAGCGCTACTTCTGTCATTCTGTATTTTCGTGTTTATTATTTCGTGTAAAACAAGGATAGAATGGCTGCGTTCAGCAGAACGTTTATTTTGCAACTGTTAGAAGTTTTCTTCGCGCTGATTGGGCTATGCTTTTAGATTAAGAGGAATGGTCCAATCTCAGCAGAGAATCATAAAACGGTTGCAAAACTGTTGTGTTCTGCTGAGTTTGCAAGAGTTTGTGCTGCGGCCATAATTTACATATAATTGCTTGAATATCTACTTTTTCATTGAAAGTTTCAACAATGTTTCAACAAATAAATCACAAAATGAAATGTAAAATTACCGACTTTTATAAAATTCAGTTTATAACGCATACATTTCTTTTTACATATTGCAATATATTATCGCATATACATGTATTATTAGGATAATTAAGGAAAATAACAATTGTTGTTAATTCTTACGTAACATATTCTGTATCGCATCTTTTGCTTTTTGGACACCAAGGCGAAATTCGCCGAATTCCGGACGAATCCTCATCCCACGGTAATAATACACCAAACTCATTTCGAAGTCGCCGAGATGATAGAGAGCTTCTGCCTTGCAGTATACCGCTTTGGACTTGCTAGAATCCTTAGGGTTCAGTCTTAAAGCCGCTTCAGCGTCGTCCAGAGCCTTTTGCGGATCACCCAGTAAAAGATGACATTTGCTCCGCGCTATCAAGGCGTTCTTGTCGTTTGGATTTAACTCCAGTGCCTGCCAGAATAAATTCTTATGTAATGTCTTTATTAAAATAATTAATAAGTTTTAATAATATTGTTAAATCACAAAGATATAGTTATTATATTTATAGTAATTATAAACATTGTAAATTCTTTTTCATATATATTTTTAAATGTACATCGATAATTCTAAATAATATTTTCTTATATTATTTTTAATCTCTTTGAAATGTAACAAATGTTTATGTAATTTAAATAAAAATATAAAAATCTACTTTATTACGTCATATAAACATCTTCTAGTATTAGATACAAATTATATGAACATATTTATTGTGATATTATTTTACTTATATAGCTGCCATTCATCGCCGAAGATTATATTGCAATAATCTTTTTGCCATATATTACAATACTGCAATTATAATAAATACAATAGAAATATTTTGAATTTTATGGACAAATTGATAAACATTAAACTTTATGAGAAATATGGATATTTTGTTAATCTGAAATTTTTTTATGTGTAAATGTTTAGTGTATCTAAACTTTTCTTTTATATTAGCCTCAGAAAAAATTTTTTGTAGAATTTTTCATAATTTTTAAGTAAATTTCAGAATTTGTTTAAATTAAAATAATAAATAATTTTATGATTTTAAAACAAAATTTCTTAAATTTTTTATACAAATTGGAACACTTTTTAGAAGTACCTTGAAAAAGTCTATATACCTTCTGGAGAGTTCTTCATATATGTACATATATTCTGAAATATTAAGATTTGTTTCATTCCATGATTTCTGATAAAATTTTATAAAATGAGGAAAAGTATTTTTTCAGAAATTCTAAAATAAAAAATCTTAGAATATTTCAGAATTCATTTACATGAAAAATTCTAAGAAAAGATGTAGACTTTCTCAGTATTTCTGAAACGTGTTTCAATTCAAGTAAAAATTCTGAGAAGAATTTTCGCCATTATATCAAATTATACAGATGCCAATTTATAAAATTAACAGATCAATATATATATATATTATAAAAACCATAGATTATGCAATCCTTTAAAAAACTTAGACAATATTTCTTTCGAAATCGATAACAATCTCTGCAATTATTACGTCCGTATTTCAATCTTATATAATATAAATCGTTACGATCGATTTATTCGCTTATTACGGAGGGTCACGTTTATTCATGCGCGCATGCACGACCATGCATAGAAGACATAAATCACTCTCATTGATTGTGCCCGCCAAGAAATAACAAAGTATCGTATAATGAGGCAAGCGAGTAGAAACCTTATTAATGCAATTAATAGCGACATTAACGTCGCCAAAGCGCATCTCGCGTAGACCAAGCGTCAGCAACGCTCCGGGCTCGGTCTCCTCCGGGATTTGCAAACTCTTGCTGCGATCCTGCCGTTGCTTTAGCTTCAGAGACTGCTTTATGTCCGTGGTACCCATGTTCACAGCAGCTGCGCGATCCTTATCGGTGTACACCTCTTCCTGCCGACGACCTTCGCCGTCACGCTGGCGTCACTTTCTCTTCGACTTCTGTATTCTCATCTCCGACTCGATGGCGGTGTCAGGCCCCTGCTTTTCTTTCCTGTCGTTACCCTTCTTCCCTTTATTACGATCCTTGTCACCGCTCAATGCTGTAAGATGTTTACTCGAATGAACTTCTTTACACGGTTCTTCGAACTCTTCAGGATCCTGCTTCGAATCAGAGCAGACTTCCACACGCACGTAGCTTTGCAGCAGGTCATGGTGGTGCAAACCAGGATTCAGAATGTCCAGAACATGATGCTCCATCGCGCTCGCAGATATTGCGTTCTCGGCTTGCGGTACATCGCCCATCTTCGCTTGTCGATTTTAACAATATTTTATCCAATAGTTATATTACAATATTGTACAATAAGAATTTACAATGATCTACTTTGCAAAACTTTCAGTTCCTCCTTCATATGTTTTTACTTTGCACATAAGAGCAGAAATCGAGGAATCAGCTCAGCTAGAAAACACGAACAGATGATCCTCGCCTACGTGCTAAGATACGTGTGGTTGCCGACACCTTAAAATAGGTGACTCGTTTCCTTAGAAACGAGTAACAACACTAGCATAAGTCAAATATGCTAATTCTACCCTTGTGAGATTCAGAAATGTAAAAAAAGAAAAAGAACACTCTGTATATTTGAATTATGTATAGAACATTTCTTGGGATTGCCAAAGTTTAATAACGTATTTTTTCGGTTACTTATTTGGCTGTGTTCCAAATTCACTGCCAGCCTAAAAATTTATAGCTTACGTTACGTGACATTAGATTTTCAACATTGACAGTGAATTTCATTATAACACAGCCTCTTAAGGTGCGATTTCACCTGACGCTACGACGCTTATTTTCAGTGTCAAAACAGGTCACGTGATCAAAATCGACGCTTGATATTTGTCAATTTTGATCACGTGACCTGTTTTGACGCTGAAAATGAACGTTGTAGCGCCAAGGAAAATCCAGCCTTAAAGATAAAGAAGAGATCGTGTGATCATAAATTTTTTTTTTTTATTCTTTTAGCAAATGCATCTTTTATAATTTTTCAAGTCTTATCCCTCTCATTCCTATTACTCGTGGCCGAGCGTGGTGAGACTCTCTCATATGCCTGTGGTGCGCACGCTGATTGTACACAGTCATATGGGACCTACGGTTTAACGTCGATTCCGAACGACGATTTATTAGAGAAGTGCTCTCTTGGCAAAGATACTCTCCGGTGGTTTGCCATTGCCTTCCGAGAGGAGCTACGAGCCGTTCGAAAACATTTTTCGGTTCTGCTTGGGATCGAACCCAGGATCTTTGACATAGCAGTCTCTTGCACTGCCTGCTACGCCACACTCGCACTCAAGAATTTGTCAGTCTGTCTGACCACAAAGACGTCTTTTGGAAATACGTCTAAAAAATTCGTAAAGATATGGATTCTTAAGATAGATCCCATTTCAGCACAAATTATTCCAGTAATATCCCAGAATATTTATGATAAATATCTATTACTATGTATTTTTTTTAATGTTATATAAATATTTTATACATATTTTATATGAAGCTTTATTAAACATTTTCTTAAAATATTGATAAATATTTCTAAATATTTATGATAAATATAAATATTTTTACTAAGTATTGTTTATTTCGATTATAGTGTCTTATTAAGTATTATCATATCATTTACTGTAACATTTGCAATAAATATTTCATTATATTATTATAATAAATATTAATTTGTGCAATCTAAGACCATAAAAATATTTACAAACTGTTTAAAATAAGTCTTATAAATATTTACATATATTTCGTAAATATTTTATATTGTGTATATTGTGTGAGATATTCATTATTGTATTGTATACCTCTCTGTATTGTATATTGTGCGAGATATTGTCATGATACAAGAACACCAAGTGTAATATTTTTATAATGATAACTAAATGTAATTGCGCTTGCGTCCACGGCGGGAATGTTACATCTAATGGTATTTTTACATCATGAATATTAATTGCTGGTCCATATTTGAATGAAGAAATTATCCCGCAAGTTGTATACTTCACATTGATATCTTCTAAACTCAAATATTATCTAATAATTTATGCATTTCTTTCCGCTCCATTGCGCTAATTGTCACAGACCAATATTCAACTAACTTATTAGATTATAATATAAAAAAGTTAATAACATTGCCTATATTTTTCGTTACATAATGTGCCCCCAATATTCTTGTTTCGCTATAGCTTTGTTCTTCGATCTTGATATATCAGGGAAGTTATTAATTCGTCAAGATTTCTATATTTCTATTTGAATATTTTTTTTTTCATATCCTCCAAAGTACAAAAAATATATTAAACATTCTGTCTAAAAATATATTAAAATATATTTAAAATAAATTTAAAACTTACTTGATTGTATAAAAATATGGCCTTATTGTAACTTCCATTTTTCACATGAATGGTTGCTTCATTTACTAAAAGTGTGTTTCGTATAAGAGATTCTCGCCGTACTACTGGCTGGCCTTTTGGATGATGAACCATATCGTCGTCTCTTTACCTAAAACATCTGTTTCAGTATTAGGTTTAGAAACCACTCAATCAATAAATATTAATGTAGAATTTAATTTTGTTCAAAACAATAAAATCGCTTTCTAAAAATTTTTTAATTAAAATACAAACCAATCAATATTAAATTAACATTAATAGTAAAATTGTTTTTATTATAAACAATGTAAACATTAAAATATCAAAACCCACAAACTCGAAAATTTTAAATTTAATTAAAAATTTACAAAACTAAAAAAATATACGAACAAAAGTAGAGCTTTTTAGTTTTAATTAACATTTCAGTAAGAAACACAGACAATAAATGCAAAAAAATATACTCACTGTGATGTCACTTATACATAGTTGAGAATTACGAAGAAATATTCGATTTCATTAACAATAATTATTCAATTTCTTTTCGTTTTTAATTAATTTAACGCAGGCCAGATTTCAAACATTGGTGAACCGCTACACCGCGACAAAATGTACAAGAGCCATCGTTCCATTCGGGTATGGTTGCCTCTAGCGTCTTAAATTCTTAACTTACAACAAAACTTTTCCATCCATACTTTTTGCTCTGTCTCCCTACCCGCAATATTAAGAAATAATCGATAAGGAAGTCAGAGAAAGGGATAATAAGGAGAAGGATAACTACACAATTCTTATTCTTTACTCACTACTACACGCTGCATCTCTGATTACTAACGGAAAAGCCATTAAATGGCTCGCATGCTTTCGTGAATGTTTCCTATCAATCCATTGTTATCGTCCTTGCTCGATTATTTGTGTCATTTAGTCGAAGAAACGCACGCGATCTGCATATAATATTAACCGATTATCGTTCTATCACAATTCTGTGAAAATAAATCTTGGACAATCATATACCCAAATATATTTTGTAATAGCTCTTTAGATTCATCTTGTATATAATTTATTTGTATGCATAAAACTGTATGCTAGAAAGGCACAAAACTTTTCGCAAATATAAAATCTTGTTTCCCAAATTATAAGAATTTTATCGAATCACGTATAGTTGGTTACGATAAAACATATTAAAATTTTAATTATAATAAAAGCATTTATGAATAAATTTTAGTTTTGATATCAATTCGTTTAGGTAATCTTCTGCCTTTTGTTCTGCAAATTATAGAAGTGAATTCAATTTTATAAGCAAGTATTACATTATAACATTTTAAATTTTAATATAAAGATTTCTAAAAAATTGTTACAATATATTAAAAATTATTATAAACTGGCAGCAATGTGTGACTTCTTGTTAGAAGGAATGTTCCAATATATATATGTACTTTTCAAAGTACGAAAAGTTTAGCTAATAGATAAACAGATTTTATAATTATTCATCGCGTGCTGCGCGCAGACACGCGAAGCAGCGAAGTTCCGAAGAAAGAAAATACACGCTTGAAATGATTAACATTTTAAATGCAGAGTACCCCAGATCCATCACGCAATCTTTCAGCAATAGGCTCATCAATAAATTTATAGCTAATCGAATTTGCTTCGAATTTGCTTCTTATTCAATTCTCTTTCTTTCATCTCCAATTAGCTTTTTTTCTTTTGACTAGTTCTTTTGTTACGTGACATATATGGAATTTGCAACACTTGGATACAAATTTGGAAATATCGCGAAAAACTTTCATAACTTGTCTATGCTATCTAAAATTTATTGAAGAAAAAATGTTGCAAATTTTCTACACACAAAATTATTAGATATTACGCAAATAATTACATGTTTTTTTAAAAAGGACTCATTTAGAGAAGCCAACAATACTTGATAGATAATTGTAAGATATGTTTTTATACTTTATATTATGTGAAAGATGTAGGGACGATAAAATATAATATATTCTGATGCTTATAATTTTTAAATATTAATAAATACTTATAAATATAGTAGAATACAATCTTATATCAACGTACATTTCATTTCCATTCATATCATCTCACATTAGATTATTACATCAGATTCAATTATAACAAGTAATAGGTTCTCCTTGTAAAGTGGAACATCTAGGTACTGTCACAAGATCAGATCTCATTCTGCGAAATAATAGAACATGTGGTTCTGAAAAAAAAATTTAGATTGTATTAATAAATGATGCTGATTATAATTCATGATGTACACACATTTATATGTGTGTACACATATAAATAATTTTCCTACCTAAATAATTTTCATTTATCAAGTCGTACCTGGTCCATGCATCATATAATGAACCCATCCAGGGCTCTGTTGAACTCCTAAATTTCTCCATTCGGTTTCTGTCATGAGATGAGTCTTTGGAACATGCCTGGCTATATCAACTGGCAGTATTACATGCCTATACATAATTTTTAATTGAAATTATATGACTTTATTTATACTGACATTAACTTGAGTTCATCTGTACGTATTGGATTAAATTCATGAAAACTTATAAAATAGTTTAAAGTCTTTTATATATTTTTAATTATATATAAGAAAATTTTCTTTTTAATTGAAAATCTCTGAAAAGAGAATCTCTTCTATTTAAATTTCTGTATTCATATTCAATTTTATAAAAAATCGGTATAATTTCGAAGTTAATTTGCCAAAAATGATTACCATAAGATATATTTTACACAAATAATATAATGTAATTTAAATTAAAAAAAGAAAAACATAACTGTAATAAAAGTTGACAATATTTAAATAACAAAAACTAATTTTTACAATTTAATATTAATAAAAAAAAACTAATTTTTACAGCTCATTACTCAGATAACATGCATGTTTAAAAACAAAACATAAGTCGTCTTAAAGGCGCTTAAAAGCTTTTTAAGACGTCTTATATTTCGATTTTGTATTTTTTGTTGTCTGAGTATTTTTAAAGATATAATTCATAGTTTCTCCAAATTCTTACCTGTATTCATATCTATCATCATTGTACTTTTCAGAATACTGAATCTGGTCTACCGGCATTCTAATTGAAATTAAGATAGGTAGGTACACAACAAAAGTTAAACAATCTAAAAAAAAATAAAATGGTATCAGCTAATTTTAAAGTTTTAAGAAAAAGTCTTTATATATAAAATTGTTTTGTGATAAATCTTGTTTGATATAACTAATTGTGAAAGAAATTCTATTATTCTCTAGTAATTTAATTCATATAATTGAGCTATTTAAAATAAATATAAAAATAAGACGGTTGTTGATAAACGCAAATATAAAGATTTCTACAATATTAAAATTTTTATAGCAATATTATAAATTTTAATAGAAGATTTTCATCTAATTAAAGCAGCAAGAAATCTAATGAAAATGAAATTGTGAGATAAAATTAGGAAAGGAGTAAGTTTATATCTGTATAATATAACTGCCTTAATGTAAAAAATGGATCAACTCATGTAAGATTGTTTTGTTTTAATAGATCATAAATTTATTTGTTAGTAAAACAGAAGAATTCTCTAACTTGAAAAATTATGATACTATTGGGTGAAAAATTTTTAAATATTATTAACATAATATAAAAATCATGTTTTCAATCAACATTACAATTACATTCGCGCGTTTATTCAGTCGGTACGATAGATTTCCTAACCTTAAAAAATATTGTTTTTGAGAGATTTTGCTCAATAATATCGTAAATAATAGTACGATTCATGAATTAGCGACGAGGAAAAATAATTTTAATCTCTTTTTATTAATTACTTACATATTAGTATTCAATTTATCTATCAATTTAATATTTAATCACACAACATACCTGTTGCACTCAAAAATGGGACGACATATATAGTCTGTTTTCTGTTCCTGCACTAGACTGTTCTAGAACTCTCTTTCTCGCTTTAAATAAATATCAAACGTATTTCTATCCCACTTTAAGTTCCAAAACTGTACACTAGTTCAGCCACAGAAAACAGACCTATATTCTGATATATTTTGGAACGCACATATATTTGAACCATGGTATAGGAATATTCAGATTCGATTTATTGCGACTTTTACGAACAATGAAAGCGCATCCACATTGAAGTTTCTCAGAGTTTATTGGACAATTTTTTAGCTCTACTATGAAAAACTGGTGCAATTGAGTGCAATATCAGTTTACATATTTTTAATATTAATAAATTAATTAATTCTTTTGAGATTATGAAGTTATTGTGAGAACAAAGTTATGTAATTAAAAGTAATTAAATTATTTATCAATACTGAAAATATGTGAATTGATTTGTGTTCAATTGCACTCAGAGTGCACTAGTGTTGCACTAGATTTTCACGAATAGCGCCAAAAGCCGAGTGGCATCAAATCATATCTCGTGTTTCGTATCATGTATAATATTAATTCATGATTAACCAAGCGAAACAACTCTAACCTAATTTCCATATTAAAGTTAAACGTACGCGTTGATGCTGGTTCATGCAGTTGATTTAATATGACACAGTAGTGTTGTGACGGTAATTATAAGTTTTCATAATACTGTCAAGCAAGCTACGAACGAATAATGGGAGTCCCAGCATTTTTTCGTTGGCTAAGCCGCAAATATCCCTCCGTAATTGTGGAGTGCATCGAACAGAAGGTAGGTTAGATTGCTGATAAATTTTTCTCCGTTTTACATGTTTGTCATTTGTATTTACATTTCATCCACGTTTATATCTCGCTTCCTGAGGTATAATCCTTGCGACGAATCGCTGCACTTATGGATTGTGTAAATTTTTTAATTATGTGCATATATTGTATTTTAGTTAAGCTCACAATAAATTTCTGAAACTTTCTAGAATGGTTATTATAATCCTTTATTTGCTTCTATTTGTCAAATTTAATATCTAGGAAATTAAAGTTAATATTTAGTAATTTTGTGTATATTTAAGTTATTTTCGCATATTTTAAATATTTAAAATCTCAAATTAATGTAATATTAGGGTACATTCTATTTCATACATGATGTGGACAATGCATAATTTATCCTTGTTTAACCTTCAGTGAACAACAAGGATAAACGATGCATTGTCATGTGTGAAACGGAATGCACCCTTAGATTTTCTCTTCTTGTTGAAGAATTTCTTGTTGCTGAAGATTGTGTTACAACAATTTTCATAGTTAATTCACTGCCAAAATTTGACAAATTATTTCAATAATATTCTAAATCCAATATATAAGAGTAAAATTTTGATATTTTATATTTATAGACAGTATCTGCAGACGGGGTATGCATTCCTGTGAATTCAGCAGAGCCGAATCCAAATGGGGTAGAATTTGATAATTTGTATCTTGATATGAATGGTATAATACATCCTTGTACGCATCCTGAGGATAAGTAAGTATAAACAAGATGTCAGAAATGGTTTATTGTCTTTGATGAATTGTTTATGTGATCTTGTACTTTTGTAAATATAAGGCCAGCTCCCAA